AGATGTTTTCCCAAATAGAGTAATGGAATTGCATAATAGCAATAGTACTCACTGGAAATCTAAGTTTATAGATGTATTACCAAGTTTATTTGCTGAAAGAGTTAGAAAAGTTTTAAGAAAAGATAGGATTAATATTCCTTATGAAAATTATACTTATGACAGATTAATAGGAACTTGTATTCAAGAAGGCTTAGCTCTATGTAATGAAATGAAATTGAATCATCAGATTAAAAGACAGAGATTGACTGAAAGAAAACAATTAGGACAGTTTTGTAGTCAATTTGAGATGGAAATTCCATCAGAAAGAAGATTGATAAAAATTTTTAAAAAAGATGATAAATATTATAAGAAAAAGAAGAGAATATTCTCAAGAAAATTTTAATAAAAATGCCATGAGAAAAATGAAAAGAAAGGAAGAAAAGAGAGATAGAGCTAATATAATTTGTTATAGATGTAAAAAACCAGGTCATTTTGCGAATAAATGCAAGATGAAAAAGACAATTAGTAGTCTAGAAATTGATAAAGGAATTAAGGAAGAACTAATTAATCTGTTAAGCTCAGGATCTAAAATAGAAAGTTCAGAAGAAGATGAAATAGATCAGATAAGTAATACATAAGAAAGCTCAGACTCTGAGTGTTGTAGTCCTTGTAAATAAACAGGTAGTTGTAGTATAAGAGAAATTGATGATGAGAATGAAGATTATTATAGAATCTTGTCTCAATTCAAAGAATCAGATATCAATGTTATCTAATAATAATATCATAGAATTTTTAAAATTAAAAGGATAAGTATTTAAGATCCAAAATAATTGAACAAGTTGGTGATATACCAACTACTAGTCATACTCAAAATAATACAGTAGACAAGATAGAGATGGATAATAATAATCCAAATACTATGTCGGAAGTATATAAAATGCTAAAATATAAATCTCATAAAATAGAGAGATCTCCTACTATTGTGAATGATTTAGGAAAAGAGATTAATAATCTTAAAGAAGAAATTAAAATTATAAAACAACTCAATAAGAGTTTAGATGATAGAGTTTCTAACTTAGAAAACACAAAACAAATAAATTATGATAAGAATATGTTAACTGAAACAGGGATTGAAAACTTCTTAGGATCATTAGATTTAATAACTTTTTTTAAATTTCGTATTGTTACCAAATTATTGGTGGATCATAATTACCAATTCAAAGTACTAGCATTAGTTGATAGTGGGGCTGATGTAAGTGTAATACAAGAAGGTATTATTCCTGCTAAATATTTTGAAAAAACCACTCATGTAGTAAGACATGCTGGTGGAAAAGCATTAGACATAAATTATAAACTGTCTAAAGGATATATTTGTAATAATCAATTTTATATTCCTGAAAGTTTTTTAATAGCTAAAAACTTAACTAGCCAAGTTATACTTGGAACTCCTTTTTTAAAAAGAATTTTCCCAGTTACACATATTGATGTTGATAAAATTACAGGTACATATGATAAAAGATCTTTATCTTTTAAGTTTATAACTAAACCAAATACAAGATTTATTAATGAACTTAAAGATCTTATTTTTAGAAAAAGAATCAAATTAATTTTCTAAAGTTTGAAATTAATACGTTTTCAATTGAAAAAGATTTAAAAAAATCCTAAATTACAAGAAAAAAATAAAAAAAAGATATACAATAGTATTTGTACTGAAATTTGCAATGAACACCCAAATGCTTTTCGGAATAGAAAAAGACATGTTGTTAGTCTTCCATATGAAGAAGATTTTAATGAAAAAAACAATGATTAAAATAAAGGCAAGACCTTGTCAAATAAATTCTGAATACTTAGAATTATGTAAAACTGAAATGAATATGTTATTAGAAAAAGGTTTGATTAAAAAGTTAAATTCTCCATGGTCATGTACGGGATTCTATGTTAATAAACATAGTGAGATAGGAAAGCCAAGATTGGTTATAAATTATAAACCTCTTAGTAAAGTATTAAAATGGATTAGACATCCAATTCCTAATAAAAAGAATTTATTAGATAGACTCTATGATTAATTGATATTTTCTAAATTTGATTTAAAATATGGGTTTGGCATATTCAAATTGCTGAATCAGACCAATATAAAACTGCTTTTAATATTCCAATTGGACACTTTGAATGGAAAGTTATGCCTTTTGGGTTGAAAAATGCGCTTTTTGAACTTCAGAAAATTATGAATGATATTTTTATTCCATATAGTGAATTTATTATAGTTTATATTGATTATATCTTGGTATTTTCCAAAGATATTCAATCTCATTTTGAACATTTGAGTATATTTCAAAGATTAGTAAAACAAAATGGATTTGTTATATCTCAGTCAAAAATATCTTTATTACAAGCAAATGTAAGATTCTTAGGACATAATATTGAGAAGTGGAAAATTATTCCAATTGATAGAAGTATTGATTTTGCATCTAAATTCCCAGATGAGATTTTAGATAAAACTCAATTACAAAGGTTTTTAGGAAGTTTAAATTATATTTTACCTTATTATAAAAATTTAGCTTATGATACTGCTATTCTGTATGACAGGTTAAAAATTAATCCAAAACCTTGGATAGAAGAACATACTAAAGCTGATCAGAAAATAAAAAATAAAGTAAAAATATTACCATGCTTAGTCTTACCAAATCCTAAATGGGAAAAAATAGTAGAGATAGATGCCTCAGATATAGGATATGTGGAATACTAAAACAAATTTATCCTGATGATAAACAAGAAAAATTAGTAAGATATTATTCAGGGAAATGGACTCAAAGTCAGAAGAATTATGCTACAGTTGCAAAAGAAATTCTTGCAATAGTTAAATGTGTTTTAAAATTCCAAGATGATTTATATAATCGGAAATTTACTATTAAACCATATTGTCAATCAGCTAAATATATGTTTAATAAAGATTTTAAGCATGACGTTTCTAAGCAAATGTATGCTAGATAGCAACCTAATTTAGCTCCTTTTGATTTTGACACTGTATATAAGAAAGGAAAAGATGACAATCTCCCTGACTTTTTATCTCGTGAATTTTTACAGGATGAGACCAGGAGGAGGCCAGTATAGAGACTGAGGAGGAAGAGGTAATACCTCTTATACCCAAGGAATAGGCAATATCCTCTCACAGATTGGGAACAAAAAATTAATATCTGCAAATATTGCTGATTTAAGCAAAGATCCCTCATTAAAATTTAAAAAATTTATAGAAAAAGAAGGAGAATCATCCTCTACTGGAAATGAAACATATGCAGATGCAGTAATGGTGGAAGATAATATTACTGCATAATCATGCTAGCAGCAATAAAGAAATTATATTTCTTATAGAAGAAAAAGATCTCCAATGGGAGAAAGATCCATGGTTAATAACGACCAGATATTTGGATACAGCATCATATGCTGCTACATCATACAAACCCAGGTCATACTAGGAAAATATTCTGAAAGTTTCAAGTTCTTGTAAAATAACACATTTTTTTCTCTAATAGAGGAAATAATGTTTATAATTTCAGTAAAATTATTATCAAAAAGATTATATCTGTTGAGGAATGGGGATTATCTACCCTAAAAGAAAAGAAATTTATAATTCCTGAATCCAAAGTAACTTTTAAATATAATTATTGGGATTATTTTGAAGCCTTTAATAAGGTATTTTTATATGAAAATCCTAATAGGAAATATTCATGGTTTATTAAGATATGTGGAAATGTTTATAACATTCCCATGCCTAATTGGTTTACTCAATGGTGGTATACTTATGGACCATCCGGAAAAATAATTCTGGATAGATTTACTCCATTATCTGGTGAGTGAGTGAGGATTTCACCTAAAATATCAGAATTAATTACATCTAATAGGTGTAATGAGGAAATAGCCATAATGATGTTTTTTACTGAATTTTGAATTCCGTGGATTTGGAAATGGGTTCCAGAAGTCGGTTATATTGACAAAAAATTACCTTGTCTCAAAAGAATTAGTTATACAAAATTTTGGGATAAATTGATGAAGACCAATCTAGATACAAAGGAAGTGTATGGACAAGAATTGTTGGATGACATTCATCAAAAGAATGAACACTACCATAATATTAAAGAACAAATGGAAGTAAGGGAAATTAACCCTTTACAACACATCACAATGAAGATAAAATTGCAGAAGGATCATATATCTAAAGAAGAAATTATTCATGCTTATATGGAAGAGCTAAAACAAAAATTAAAAAAGGAATTTGGCAGATGACAGATCAGATATTTCAATGGCAACATCAAGTGAAGGACATTGTTTAGCTGGGGAATCACATGACCAGGATGAAGAATATGAAGAAGAATTGATCAATGAACGCATCAAACAAGTGATTGCAAAGATAAATGCAAAGACAAGAAGGGACATCCTCAAGAAAAAAAATCAGCTATTATATAATAAGACCAAAAACTGAGTTGGAAAGTTGCCTTGATAAAGCAACAATAATGTTGTAATACTGTGTTAGTACTATTGTAATACTGTACGGAATTCAAAACAAAAATTTGAAATCCGTAACAGTAGTCAGGAAGAGTCCTATAAATAGGGATCATAAATCCCTAACTGGACATCGACTCTTTTTATTCTCCTTTTAGTTTCCTCTCTCCCTCCCTTTGTAAAATATTTTCTAAGTTTGAAGTTTAAAGAAGAAGAACTCTGCTCCTTTGTGAATATCTATTCTTATTTTCCTTGTCTTTAATTATATTTTGTTGTTTGAATATCTATTCTTATTTTGCTTGTCTTTAATTATATTTTGTTGTTTTAAATTCATGATGACAGGCTAATAGCTTGGTGGTTGGGATAAGATGAAGTAATTGCTTATTTAAACGTAGTTTTGATCCTGTTGATGATAGAATGATGGAATGATTAGAGAATCATTTTGAAGGGGATAAGAGTTATTAGAACTAGCCATGAATTATATGAGTAGAGTTAGCCCGTTTTAAAGCCGTGTGGTTGGCGTGTTAAGGACATTGATCCCAGTTTGCTCGTATTAATTCTATGTTGACGGAATTAATACGACGGGGTAATTTAGGAAAATGCTCATCTTCCTCATTCCATGGAAGTGAGGATTGGTACATCCTTTCTTCGAATTTCTTTGTTTTCAAGTCAACATAAACCTTTTTTGAATGCAAATAATCCATTAATAGCACCTGCCCAGTTGGTAGAGCGCCCGAAATGCTACGAAGCGATGGAGTTGGCCCAAGAAAAATCTTATCCTTGACCAAAACTTGATTGGTACCCTCAACGCATTCTTCCAAATACCAAATCTGAATTTGATCTTCATCATGTCTCTTTGACATACATATTAACCACTCCTTATCTGATCCTCCTACTGCAAGCTCAGCCGCAACGGTACGACTAGAACCCAAACTTTGGGTGAACTTGCGAGTATAGAAAACTTCTGTACCAACTTGGAAGCAAAAAAGGTATTGGGCATCTTCCCATACCTCGGAGTCAACAAGAGAATATATGGTACCATTAACGCAAGGGCAACGAGCATCTAAACTAAAACCATCCGATTGAGGTGGGTCCATTGTTTTTCTCCATGAGGAGTCCAACCCAATCGTATAAATTGCACCTTCTAGCCCATCAGATCCAAAATACGTAGACAATACTTTGTAGTCACAACTTATTGGATCAAAACCGATATCAAACCTACAGGATGAAGTTTTAATCTTCGGAAGGGGTAAAAATTGACGAGTGGTAATGTTTAGAACTAGGGCGTAGCGAGTAGAACCGAATAAACATACCAAGACGAACATAGGTACTGAAACCCTAACTACCTGGATTGGTTCATTGAGTTTGAGTTGCAGGGGAGGCGACAGCTGCCTTCCATCGTCATGATAATCATAATCTCATCTTTGTGGTTGTGGCTCCAATTCGTCTAAAATTTCGCCAAACAATTGCCTCCCGGCCGGGATTTGGAATTTATATGGTGCTTTTGGGTGAACTGGGGATCGCAAATCGTGGAGTTCCATAGTTTGGAAACGCACCTGAAACGAAGGAGGGATTGGGCTGGAAGTCTTCCAAGCACTTCAATGATTAACTCATGCGGGATTTCTGTTGGCCCTGTTGATATCGACCTGAAGATCTGCTTCTTTTTCTTCACCGTCGTTTTGTTCTTTAATTTACTTCGATGGCCGCCGCCGCTCGCGTATGACGACGTTAGGTTAATATAATCTTCTTTAATAAATTCATCCAATGGCATAGTTTTTTCTGTAACACTTTTTATTAGGCTCCCTGTGACATTATTTAAAAGACAAAAAAAAAGATTTGGGCTTTCTTTAAATAATTAAATTGTACGGGAACCACTATTGTGTGATCTTCTCTCTCTCCTTCTTTTTTTTAATTAATCATCCTATGGACCTCACTATTATTGGTAAATTCCGTAAATTCCTGTTACGAATAAGCCCAATCAGACAGGTTTGGACTTGACTCGGAAGAATCGAATCGAGGGAGAAATAGAAACAGAGAGATAAAATAGAGAAATTAGGGCAAGAAGAGACAGAATAGAGAAATGGGAGAAGAAGCTGAAAATTATCATTAACCAAATCAATGCCCTATTCTATTACAATGATTGATTATATAACTACAATCTAAAAAAACAAACGGGACGTTTAACTAATAATGGGCTATAAGCTAACAATTCCCTCCCTTAAGAATCAAGCCAGCATGATGCGGATATATGTCACTCTATCAACTGAACTGGCTCTCGTTCCCAATCTCCTTCCTCCACAATTTGATGCATAGCACATGATCCTCCAAAACTTCTCTAATCAACATCTTCTGTTTGTCTGCCTATCTTACGATGGGTTTGTTTTTCTATGTAAAAGTTTGTGTACTGAATTTTTGTTGCATTAACAACAATTTTTCTTCATTGAGAAAAAGAATACAAGAAACAAAAATCCAACTTATGCGTGATGTCCGTGCAAAAATTAAAAACTAGTGCTATGTTTTGTTCGCAACTCTTTGAATATTAAGGAAAAAACTTTCAAGGTGATAAGTTTAGAAAGAGGAAATGGACGCGAAAGAAATTTTGGGAGAAAGAATAGTTTACTACTTTATAGTATATGGAGCAAAGTTATAATATATTAAACTTTTACCTTTGAGTTTCTCACAATTTTTCTACACACTTATATTAGGGACCTAAGCCCCTATCTATAGTAATACATGGAAGCTAATACATCTATTCCATACCTTTCAACACGTGTGAAAATATCTAGATATTTTATTTCTAATATCTAGATTTTTTTCCCTAGATATTTTCATACATATTCTAAATATATATATTTCTTTAGAAAGAGGTTGGAGCGATGTTCAGGTTCCAAACTATCCCAAAAACACTCAAGGTGTGTACCCAAAAGATGAATTTTTTAGTCAACCAGAGCCAGATAGTACAAATACACCCAAGGATAAACCCAAGGTGGACATTTATACCATCTAGTTTACTAGATCGTTCCTCCCCAATTTTATTAATTTAAGTAGCAAAGAGACCTAGGGCAGAGTATTGTCTATCCCTAGGCACTATACAAGAAGATTTAAAGCGTAGAGACTTAACTAGTTGGTCTAAGACTACACAAGCTCTAATAAAGAAATCGTGCAACCATCTAATTCTAAGATATCTAGATGCATTCTTCCTCGTATTGATGCCGGAAGCTTGCTAAGATAGTTGTATTGCTTTATAGCACCAGTGGAAGTTTGTTTTGCAAGTTCATCTACAACACTATTAGCTTCTCGAAAAATGTGAATGATTCTTGATTGCGAGAGTCTCAGTATTTCTTGTATCCCTCAAAAGTAATGATAATGCTTCCATGGGAAATCTATTTCCTTTTGAAGGAAAAGTGTGATGACTTTGTTATCTGTTTGAACTTCAATACGTCGCAGCCCTCTTTCCATGCAAGCCTTTAAAACCTGATAGATTCTAGTTAATTCAGCCTCCAAACTTGTTGCCCTTCTTATATTCTTACTGTCAGCTGTGATGAAAATACCTTGCTCACCCCTCAAGACGTAGGCCCAGCCAGCTTCTCCTGGTTGTCCCAATGCAGATTCGTTCGTATTCATAACAAAGTCTCCCGGGTCAGGTGGTTTCCATTTAACAGTCTTGATTTTCTTCCTTGGCGGTTTAAGCACTTGTACTTTGAAAAGGTTCTCCACTTCTTGACGCTTGGCTAGAGCTTTTGCTTGGATTTTGTGGACACTCAACATATGGAAAATATTAGTAGCAATATTCGTAATCAAAACATCAGAAAAAAAAGATGTACCTTCAAAAATCATTTTATTTCTGAATTTCCAAACTTCCCATAGCAAAAAAAGGGGAGTGACCATGATGATAGATTTCTTCGCTGTTGTGAAACTTCCAATGGATTGCCGTGATTGAAGAAGACTCCACCATCCTAAATTATGATGAGAAAAAACCCTGGAGTTGCAGCAAAATGGTGCCATATTAGCTTAATCTGCGGGCAGCTTCCAAAAATATGATCCAAGTTCTCTTCTGCATCTTGACAAAAAGGACAGCTAGATGGGTTCAACACCAAATTCATTCTACAAAATATCTCTGGAAAGAGTCCTGATACACTCAACGAAAAAATTTTAACGACCTTTTCACGACCCTATGTGGCTCCTCCACGTCATCATTTTTCTCTCTCCCCTTTCATTATTTTTAAATTTTTTATTAATTAATTCTTAAAGCTCAATTCTGCCATTCTTTCCGGCTCTGTCTCCACCTCAGCCACCTCTTCTTCTACCCACTACTACCGCCGGCCATTTCCCCTCTTCCTCTCTTATTATCTCTTTCATATTGTTTTTCTTCTTAAAGAATAATTGCTTCATGTCCACTGTCGCCCCCGCCCTCCTCGATCCCTAACTTTATCGATTTGGATCTTGAAACCACTGCCATCCAATCCTATTATATCGGCTCTTATTCTGCTCCTCAATTGGTGGGAACCGATGAGAAAAAATGATGCAAACACCAATGTGAGTTAGTAGATTGAGGGGATTGGGTTTTTTTTTTATCCATAATGAAACTAGAAAGGGCAATAAAGAGAACATATTTTTCTCTTCCTTAGAGAGATCCCATTTGGATTGGGAAGAAGGTATGGGTGGAGCCGTCGTGGAAAAGGAGTAGGAAGGGAGAAAGAGAAAAATTGGATTGTTGATTTATTTGAGTTGGATAGGAACTAGGAGTCTGGAACATTGTAAAAGTAAAAAAGGAAAAAAGGGGAAGAGAGAGAGAATTACAATAAAAATATATGTGGGACAGCTGGGTCAACAGCCACCTCAGATCCGTTGGGCATTCGTTCAAAAACATTCGCTGAGACAGTCATTTTCCCTCTGGAAAAGGGAGCAAACGATTATAAATCCTCCAAATGAAAATAGAAACTTTTAAAGGAATGATTTTATTCCAAAAATTATAAAGGAAAAGAAAGGCATCTCTGGTTTGTCTTGTTTCTTTGTAGGCAGAAGATATAGTGAATTCTCCAGTTAAAGAAGGTTTCCACACAAGCCAGTCTTGGTCATCCGTGAACATCATCTCCAATGCGTGCAACTTTGTAGCAACCTTAGGCCAAAATAATCCATTAAAAACCTACAAGAAAAAATGTTTGATTGGAAGAAATCTCGAACATTTAGGGTTAGGGTTGGTGGATTATGTTCGTCTTCCTATAGTGATGTTGATGAGAGCCATCTGTCAAGCCAAAAGGACAACGAGCCATTTCTTATTTCTACTAAGCCGGCAAAGTTAAGTGATCAACCCTTTGAGTTCTTGTCCAGCTTGTCCTTTACTTTGATGTTTTTGATAGTGACACAACAAATCTTACCCAAATGCCAATGACATTGTTGACCTTCCACCAAAGTTTTAATGAAAAAGCTTGTATGACTTCACCAAGGCTTCAAATATTAAGGCCATTTTCCTCAATCGGTGCCACCAGATTACTCCATGCACGCCAATGTTTTTTGTTTCCTTCCTCATTCTCCCCCACAAAAAATTTTGACACTTACGCTCAAGGGCTGAGACAATCATCTTTGGAGGTTCTATTGCAGCAATCATATGGATTAGGACAGCCGAAAGTGCATTCTGAATAAGAATCAGCTTGCCCCCTTTGTTAAAAATTTACTCTTCCAGTTTAGTAGCTTGGCATCGAAAGCATCCAACAAGTGATGGAAGTAATCAGTTTTCTTCCTCCCTTTAAACTATTTGCATCCCAAATAGGTAAACAGAAAAGTTCATTGGGACATTTGGAGAGTTTGATTCACCAGTTGTACATGATCCATAGTGTTTTTTTCCGATGTATAGAAACAACTCTTTTGCTTATTCATCTTCTACCCAGTAGTCGCTTCATAGTCCTGGAAAAGGGAGATCAAACTTTTCGTAGAATGCTTTAGCCCCTTTGTGAAAATAATTAGGTCATCAGCAAAACATAAGTGTGATAGTATCAACGCTTTTGCAGTCACTCCATATGATGCAATCTTCCCTTCCTCTGTGAGTTTTTTCAAATTGCGAGTAAGAGCTTCTGATAGCATGATGAACAAGTAAGGCGATAGTGGATGACCTTGTTTTATACCTCTAAATGCCTAAAAATCAAACTGAACTTCCATTAATGAGTATGGAGAACCAACTTCGTTCCAAATTAGAGAGTAGCAATTTCACAAAGTGTTCATGAAATCCGACCTTGAGTAAGATACGACGTAAGAAACTCCATGAAACACGATTGAAGACCTTCATCATATGAAGTTTAAATTAATATCCCCCCTCTCTAGCTGGATGATCTAGAAACTCTATGAGGTCTTGAGTGAAAAGAATGTTGTCAACAATGTCTCTACCGGCAAAGAAAGCGGATTATTCTTCTAAAATTAATCGTGGTAGAACCTTTTTCAAGCGCTCCCTGAGCAACATCGTAAAATTTTATTGTGTAAGTTGCATAAACTAATGGGACGAAAGTCCGCAAAAGAGGTGGCAGTAGATTTCTTCGGGATCAAAGTTACTAAGGTGCTGCCAATGGCTTTTGGTAGTGGATAACCATTCATAAAATCAAGACAACCTCCAGTAGATCATAATTAATGTTACTGAGGATTCAAAAGCTTGCATCATCATTATTTTCCACTGTCTCGGCTATTAATAAATCTTTGAAGAAAGCTATCGCTTCCGCCTCTATATCCTCCCTTCGTGTTAACCATGAATCCATACGTCCTTTAATTTTATGGATGTCAAGCCGCGCTTTTTTTTCATCCAAAGATGCGTGGAAATAGGATGTATTTGCATCCCCATCACGAAGCCATTTTTGCCTTGATCATTGCTGAAGAAAATCATCTTGCTCTCTTAACTTTAATAAGAGGTGAGCTTGCAACTTATGCAATTCCATTCTGTCGGATTCATTGCCATATTTTTTTTTTTGGTTAAAATGTAAATTTCATTAATCACATCACAAAGCTTCTTTACAATGGATAACTACATCTACTATCAAATTATAGGCCTAATCTGCTCAAGAATTGCTGCTCACTGTTTTTCAACCTTTTCTTCTTTAAACAAAACTGTAATCTAGTTCTAATCTCTTGCTGAATTCTGCTAAAACAACATTCCACTTCACTTTTTATGTTTCTGAATTTTCTGTAATTTCTTTCCATCCAAATGTGGTAAACAGTGGCATTGAAAATAGCATAGAACACCCTCTGTTGCAGTTTTCTGTACCTCCACAGCTGCAGCACTTCCTGGACACTCAACTGGCTTGGAATGATATTGATGTCCAGCCAGATTTTCACCAATTCTAGTAGTCTCTTAGCAAACACACACTGAAAGAATAAATGCTGTGCAGATTCAGGTTCTGTTCCACACAACACACAACTTATGATATCAGCAACAATGTTCAATTTCTGCAACCTCTCCCCAGTGTTTAGCCTTTGTTTCCAAGCCAACCAGCTTATAAAACTATGTTTTGGTACTGAGTAATTACACCATACTACTTTTGCAGCATGATCCTTCCTGTGTTCTCCTCTCAACCATATTTAGCCACTGCTTGCTGTATACTTCTTACTACCATTCCCCAGCCATTGATCATTTCTAATTCCTGCTTTCATAACTTCTTTGATTTTCATTAGCTTTTTCCAATGCCAACTGCTGTCTTTTGGAGCTTTACAATCCCATACTGACCCGCCCTTTATATAATACATATGCATCCATTTAACCCAAAGGCTTTCCTTCCTGTTACTCAAATCCCATAATTGCTTAGTGATCATAGCTTTATTCCACAAACTAGCTTCCTTAATATTCAGTCCCACTTCTGATTTTTTCTGACATACCTCATTCCATGCTACAAGTGGTATTTTCCTACCATCTTCCTTATTTCCCCAAAGAAACTGCCTACAAACTTTGGCTATTTCTTGGATCACATTCTGTGGTATGAGAAAGATACTAGCCCAATAGGAGTTTAAATTTAACAATACAGAATTAATTAGCAGTGACCTACCTGCATAGGATAGATGTTTAGAAGTCCAACATTTGATCCTTGCAGTCACCTTTTCCACCATTTTTTGACATTCCAACTTACTCCAGGCAGTAGGAGAGATTGGCATCCCTAGGTATTTCATGGGAAAATTGCCTTTCTCAAATCCCAGCACAGACTGGATTTGATCAGCTATAGTATTAGAAACACCTGCCACATAAACATTAGACTTGTTAAAGTTGATTCTCAATCCAGTTGTAGCTTCAAACTCTTCCATTGTCTTCTTCACTTTTGTCACTGTGTGAATATCAGCACCACGTAGGATTATAAGATCATCTGCAAAACTCAAAGAGGTTATTTTCAGTTTATCACAGTAAGGATGGAACTGAAAACCTCCTTTGTTTGCTTCTGATTTAAACATTCTGGTTAGGTATTCCATCACCAATACAAAGAGGAGGGGTGACATCGGGTCACCCTATCTTAAACCTCTTTTTCCTTGAAAAAATCCAGTACTGCAACCATTAATGTTCAGTGAGAATGTGGCTGTTCTTATGCACTCCATGATCCAACCTATCATCTTTGGTGGAAACCCATACTCCTGTAGCATTTCCTTTATAAAGTTCCAATGAATAGAATCATAGGCCTTTCTTAAATCTACCTTCATTAGGCAACTTGGCTTGACATTTTTCCTGTTGTACAGTCTTACTAGCTCCTGTGTCAACAGGATATTTTGCAGAATACATCTTCCTTTCACAAAGGCACCTTGGTTTATATCAGTCAATCCATCCAACACACTACTCAACCTCTTGCATATCATTTTAGTTATGCATTTATACACTGTGTTGCAACAGGCAATAGGTCGGTATTCTGTGGCATCCTTAGGGACTTCTACTTTAGGAATCAAAGCAATCAAAGTTGTATTCAACTGTTTTAGCAGTTTACCTGTTTTGAAGAATTCCATGACCGCCTCACATACATCATCTTCCACAATGGTCCACATAGCTTTATAAAATCCACTATTGAAACCATCAGGGCCTGAACTCTTTGCAACATCTATGCTAAACATTGCTTCCTTAACATCAGCCTTGGTGAACTCCATAGTCAGGAAAATTTGCTGTTCAACTGATAGATTAATCCCTGAGCTGATAAAGTCACTTTGGATTGATGTTCTAGCCACAGTAGTTCCAAGTAGTGATTGATAGTACTCCAGAAAATGCTTTTCTATCAACTTTTGATCTTCAATCAGGTTTCCTTGATCATCTATATATGCTCTTATTTTGTTCCTGGATGTCTTCTTCTTTAAACTGGCATGAAAATACTTAGTGTTCAGATCTCCTTCCTGTATCCATTTTTTCTTCAGTTTTTGTTGGTAGAAGCTTATCACTGCTTTCCCTGCTAATCCACATTCCCTTATTGCTTCTCTTTCCTCCTGGTGAAGTTTTGTGTTATGTGGATCAACCTTCAAGGCTTCTTGAACTTCATCCAGTCTTTTCCTCCATTTTAATTCTTCCTCTTCAATATTTGAGAATTTCCTTTTATTCAACTCTCTTAATGGCTTCTTCAATCCTTGCTACTTTTTAATCATTCTGTACTGGTTTGATCCCTTCACCTTCTTTTTCCAATAATCTTCTACTATGGCCTTACATTCCTGATCCTGCAACCACATATTAAAGAATCTGAAGGAAGTCTTTCTTCCAACATATTCCTCTCCCCATTTTACTAGAAGAGGATGATGATCTGAAATCCCTGCATTCAAGATTGTGGTATAGGCCTCAGGAAATGCATTCTCCCAACATTCATTGATAAAACTTCTATCCAGTTTTGATAATATTCTCATGTTTCCAAATTGCTTATTACTCCATGTATAGAACCCTCCTTGCACTACCATCTCCCATAACTCACACTCCTCAATCAGTTGTTTGAATTTCCTAGAGTCAGAATTCATCTCTTCTCTTCCACCCAATCTCTCACTCTGCTGCATAACACAGTTGAAATTCCCTATCATTAGCCAAGCTTCATTAATCCCTTGTGACAGAACTTTCAAACTATCCCATAGTCCACTTCTCCCTAGTGCTAAATAGTCAGCATATACCAAGGTGAAGTAAAACTGCTTTTTACATTCTAATTCAGTAATATGACAATGTATAAACTGAGCATCCACCTTTATCTCCTTCACCACATACTCATCTTTCTTCCACAGCAATAGTATTCTCCCTTTATTCTGGTTATCATGATTGCTAATATGACAGTAATTATACCACCTCTTCTCCATGAGCTCCATCACCTTTTCACCATGCAGTTTAGTTTCCAACAATCCCATAATACCAACCTTATTCACAGAAAGGCATTGGTCTACCTCTCTGTGTTTCAGAGGACTATTTAGTCCTCTTATGTTCCAAGAGAGTATGTTATTCATAAGTACTAGGCCCTGGATCAGGGTGACTAGTTCTTTGATAACAAATGCTATTAATGGATCTATTCTTAATATCTCCTCTACTATCAGGAATTTTCATACCTTTTTTATTTAATATCTGAACACTCCCTTCTTCCAGCTCAGTTTATCCTTTTGGTCAGTTGGTATGGTTTTTGGAGACTGTTGTTTTTGTGTTTCTACCACCCCCTCCTGGGTTGAGTCCTGAACCTCCTTCTGTTTCCCTTCTGTCTTAAGAGACCACTTCTTCTCAATCTGCTTCCTGCATTGTTTCAGATCATGACCATACCCTTTACAGTTGTTGCATTTCAGCGGTTTCCACTCATATAACACTTTTTGCTCTTGCACCACTCTTGTTTCATCTTCAAACCATATCTCCTCTTTAAGTTTCTCCTTGAATTCAACTTCCACTAAAACTCTTGCATATGCAGCTCTGAGCTTATTTTCTGTCATGTCATCCATCTCAATTGGCTTACCAATCATACTAGTAAGTTTGCTGAGGGAAGTAGCATTCCAGTACTTCAGCTTTAATCCTGGTAGTTGAATCCATACAGGAATTGAGTTTAGCTCTTCCACATTAATTCCAGCTTGTACATCCCAGTCCTTTACTATCAAGGGACGGTTATCAAACTGGTGAATATTTTGTTTTAGCACTTCCTCCTTATCATTCAAAGAGCTAAACCGAATCACAAATACTCCATTATCCAGAAGCAACACCTTATCAACATTCCTTTTACTCCAATACCTTCTAATGAATCCATTCATGACGGGGAATGGTATTTTAGCTCCCAAAACATAACAGATTATGGATGACTTCCAGTAATCAATCTCACTTTGAATCTCATCCTTGGTTATCTTCGTTATCATTCTATCATTCACAACCTTAGGTTCAATGAAACTCAATTTCTTCTTACTTTAAGCTAATATTTTTGGATCAAATCCTTGCCAAACATTATTATTCCCAGCTACCTTATCAACCTCAGATTTTTCAGATCTTGACTCTATCTGAGCTTCAGAGCTCTCACCCACCTCAATCACCTTCCGTTTACACAGATCTTCAAAAATCAAGTTCGAATTAGCATGTTTACCTGAGCTTGAGCTGATCTGAAGTTGCTGCATCTTTCCACCACCAGATACGATCTTCCCTTCTGAATGGTCGCTTCCTGATTCCAATGGTTGTTTGCTTGCACTCTCCTGACCCTCCCCTCTCTTCTTTGATTTCCTCGCCATTGCAGACTTTCGTTGGAGATCTGGATGGTGACACACAGTAAGCGTGTTTTCGCCCACAGTGAGAGAGAGAAAGGTGTATTAGACTGCAAAGTTGATTCATTGCCATATTTATCATAGATCCCTTCCTTGAGTTGGACTTCTTCCTCAGCCTCTTTTAAATTTTGGAAAACATTTCCAAATTCCGTTTTATTCCAATCTTTGAGACGCGCTTTCAGCCTGCAAAGTTTCATTGAAAAACTAATCATCCCCGACAAAGGAATTGGTTTTCCCAGCTGTCCCTAACCACATCACAAAAGCTTTCTCTACGCATCCACATCTTTTGAAACCGAAAGATACTAGGTCTTGTTTCAATGTCTACCCGAAATCGGTGAAGCACCGGAGCATGATATGAAGTTGTTCTATTTAGATGATGTACCGAAGAAGCTTGGAAAAAACCCATCCATTCCTGGTTGAATAAAACACGATCAAGCCTTTTAAACACCCTTCCGTTTTGCCGATTTCCTGACCAGGTGAAGAGGTTGCCTAATGGTGACAATTCTGCTAGGTTACAGTGGCGGAGCCAGGATACCAATATTGGGGGTGCAAAATTTAGACAAAACTACTAATGACATTAAGAAATCAATGTAAGGGGTGTGAAAAATTATTCAACACATAATCTCTATTGAAAATTTAGGATATCCCTACTAAATACAAAAAAGTGAGCACGTGCCGCTCCATTCCCCCCTAGCTCCGCCATAGGTTACAACTATTTGTTCACAAATTGGAGTCTTCCATTGCACCTCTATCAGGCTGAGAGTTCCCCTCATATTCCTCCATTTGAAGAATAACATTAAAATCACCACCAACCATCCATGGAAGTCCAGTATGATTTTCTTAGAATACCTCGCAATTCTGTCCACAAACTTTGTCGTTCTTGACGTGAAGATTTAGCATAAACCGCCGACATTAATACCTTAATTCCTATTCTCTTATTTTCAACCTCCAAATGAAGCACTTGTTCAGATCTCCCAAGCAGATTAATCGTCCATCAGATGAACAGAGAACCCAAATTTTTCCAGTTACAGATGCATAAGCCTCCCTGAACCGAAGTTTATTTCTTATTTCCTCCAGTTTTGAAATCGGAACATAGGCTCTAATAAAGCTACAAAGGAAATGGAATGCTGCATAACCAGATTTTTCAACTGCCGTTGAGATGGCTTATTTCCAATGCCACGTATATTCCATATTAATTGATTATTCATCAGAAAATTTTGTAGAAGTACTGCTGTTGAGTCTCGTTGATTTACGAGTTTCAGATTGCTGCACTTGTGGCTTCTTCGTTGATCCCCTTGGTCAGCCAAGCCTAAGTTTTTTGAGATCTTCTCATCAGAAACGACTATCCTTTCATTTTCATAATCTCCCAAATTTGAGCTAAGTCCAATCATTGTATCGTCCTGTGATCGATCTCTAGTAACCATAGCCGCTGTTCCCAATTCTGAGGTGTTAACTGTAGTTGTCTCTTCTTTTTCCGAGTCTGTTTTGGCTTCTGATTCCACAATCCCTTCTAATTGCTCTTTTTTTTCATCATCAACATTGTTGAACTTTCCCAGAATTTGATCGTCACGCAAGTCATCCAATACAACAAATCACGAAGACAAACCCACCTACGGAATGTAAATAGCGAGCTGTTTACAAGGGTTTGCCGCAGGATCCGATTGTTGCTTCTAATCTTGTACATCCCAAGAAGAATCAACCTTACCTCCTTCTTTGCTATTTTCCATTATTGTAGCCAGTTGTTGTATTGTAATCCTCCTCTTCCTTGATGACGGATTTGGTGGACTTGATCCACAAGATCAGTTAGGGTTTCTTGTTTTTCTTTATTTGACAATCCTGATGTCGACGCCCTTGTTTCCTGTTGTTGGAGATTTACTTTTTCTTTATCGACTTGGGGCTTTAATTTTCCAGCTAGCTTGAGTTGTAGAGGCCGATGGTTTCAGTTTTTTGCTGGTCTTCATTGGTGCATTTTTAGTTTCTAGTGGCGGCGCCTTTGCCTTTTTGCGGCGGCAGTCTTTTAAGGCATGTCCAACTTTCTTACATTCCGAACAATACTCCGGGAGGTTCTCGTACGTGATTTCTTGGTAATACGAGTTTTCTTCCGTGCCTAGAAGAACACTTTGGGACAGATGTTGCAAGAGATTGAGTTCAACACAAACTCTAGCGGTAGATTCAAAGTTGGAACATCAATATTGAGAGGCGTTCCGATGATGCTTGCCAATCGACTCAAATATTCCTCATTAAAATGATGTATTGGCTAACCTTCGAAAGCAATCCACACTAGGAAGATGGATGATTCTTGTGCTGCATTGTATTGCAGAGTCCATTTCAGAACTCGCATTTCGTGGTGATCAAAGGACTAAAGTCCTTTAATCAAACAGCGGTGGTAATCTTCTTCCAAATCAAAAAGAATGTGGATATGTCTATGATCAATCATACCGAGTGAGTAGTTGCCTTTGAAGCCAATCTTTTGAAATTGATGCTTTTACCCGATGTCATCCCGCGGCCATTTGGCCGCCATAGAAAAAGATAGGGTTTTCGGACAAGAAACCTAGAGAGAAGCGAGAGCAAAATTTTTAGAGAGAAAAAATTGAACATTATTGTTGTTTTTGGTGTTAATGTATATTCAAAATATTTTTCTAAAGTATTTCTAATATACTTTTCAATATCTTCTTTTCTTTTTCTAGACTTCTCTTTCTAATGGGCTATGACTTATAACTAATTAATAGTTATAGTTCAACTTAGTAACATTGGCTAGCCCAATAGTTATAGTTCAACTTAGTAACCCGTTCGGGCAAACAAGTGGGCAAGTTAATTGCCCGTCCCAGGTTAATTCGAGACGGCTTCATTGCTCGGCCGGTTCTGGTTCGGTCCGATATTATGAACCGGACCGGTCAGGCCCTTTTTTTCATTTTTAAATTTTTTTTTTTTGTAATTAAAAAATAGCAATGTTTGTTATTTAAAAAAGTCTAAAAATTAAAAAATATCAATCGGATTCATTGCTATTTTTTTAATTTTTAGATTTTTTGTTGTAATTAGTTAATCTATTTTTTAGGTCATTAAATTTATGAATAATTTATTATTTGAGTTACATTAATATCACCAATCTTTGTAGGACAAAAATAGTTAATCTATTTGCACATATTTGTCACAACCTTTGTAGTACAATTATTATTTTTTATTAAAAATGTATAATTATTATTTTAACTAAAAATTATCTTTAAAATAATGATTAAAAACATTTATATTTTAATATCAATTCAAATAAATTAACTTAACAAATAATCTTAAATTTGTTTTCAAGTAAAAATTAATTACTTGTTTATTTTCAAATAAATATATATAAAATCGAGAGTTTAAGCACTAAAGTATAAATATTGTTAATAATATTTAAAGTACGAGGTATTCAACATTAACGATACTGTGAATAAACTAACATTAAAATTAAAATTAATAATTTGTTCGTTCTCACGTGAATCGGACCGGATGACTTGCCCGGTTCGATACGAGTGGCTTATTCTCTCTCTCTCTCCCCCCCTCTCCTTCTCTCTCTACTTCATTTGGGTTTGGACAAAATGACAGGGGTAAAATGGAAATTTTTCAAAAATAATGACTTCAAGTAGTAA